TTTTTCAAACGGCTACTTTATGTTTATCTACGCTACCGTTACCTATACTGGGGAGACCAGGAAAACACATCGCACTCCACTGTCCAGTAAACATAGTGATCAATTTTTAGGGCAAAACTGACGTACGTCGACCAACAAAAATGGCGTATAAATGACGTCATTGCGACGGTCTAATGTCACACCCAATTGACGTCACTATATGACGTCATAGTATGCCGTTTAAAAGACCAAATACAAAGTCTATATGACGTCTCTATGACAGGGATATGACGTCTATCTAAGCTCTATGAGACGTCGGTATGACGATCAGTCGCGCGGTGTGGTCCTGAAAAATTGAAGATATGATAACGACGCCCCACAAGCAGTCAGTTTAGGAGTGGCAGAAAGGTACAGAAACTTGCTTCATCGCTAATGATCGGCTGATTACAGTAAACCTTGCTTATTATTATACAGAGGAGTTTCTAATAAATTGGTTATTTACGGGAATAAAAGATGATATAAAATGGAAATTTGAAATTTCTGAACATGGAATATTACTATTAGAAAAGTCATGTTTACCAGATATTTTTGTCGAAGAATTACTGATACTTTTTTAAAAATAATAATAAAATAGTTATTAGTATTTGGATAGCTAGTTTACTTTCATTAAAAGTCTGTATTTTTTTGTGTGTAAGTGTTAGTTTTTCAGTAATAACTGTCCTAAAAAAGACGTCAAAATGCCAACCTTCAGTTGTCGTCATAAAAATGACGTCATTACCGACATTTTTTAGTCAATGACGTTTCTGACCAAGAGTGTCCGAATCATTTTGGAGTCATCATGTTCACTAGGTGCTAACGCTGCATCTTTTCGATTTGACAAAGTCGGCGCGCTGGTATTCCGCCATGTAATCAAAGAGATGCCGCGTTCGCATGGGCGTGCGATGTGTTTTGTTGCTCTCTTCCTTTTCGGTTCCCGAGCATGATTAGTTGACCAACATTAACTGAACAGTTGTACCAAGCGAGAGAGAGCGGAATATTGTTCTCTTATGCCGCCTTTAGACAAAAGCTTTAAAAGTACGTCTCTTAGGCCTAATTTTAATATTGACCAACGGGAAACAAAATTGGACTTACAAAAAAACACTAAATTCACATTTACATTAATCAACAATTTAAACTATAATAGATTATTTTGTGTCAACTAAAATAAGTATCTTTTTCATCAATTTTATTGTGTAAATTGTTTATTAATATAAATGTAAATTAAGTGTTTATTTTTTTTGTAGAGCTTTGAAGAAAGAAATAAATTATTCCGAAACGCCGGCAAAACTTTGTAAAAGGAAGTTGTGTTTTTTGGGACCATAAATCCAACTAAATGAAAAAAGGATTATTTAATTTTTGCATAAAAACACTTAAGTTTGATAATCCAATATTTTACGTAAGAAACCATAGTCTAAATATATTTCTTAGTTTTGCATATTTAGTAAAACATCTGATTCGGCTTCTTTTAGTATTTTTTGACACTCGAAGGTTTATTTGAACAAAAAAAATAGGGCAATCCGTTTTGATATGTTGGAGAACAATGTGATACTATACAGGGTGGCGCATCGAAAATGAAACAGACGCATTTACTGGCAGCTCAGTTTTTTTTTGATTAACGTTAAGAACCGTCGATTTTGTTTTCGAGGGGGACACAAGTTTGGCAAAAAATCACGTTAATACGTGCAGCCCGCTGGGCGGGGGTGACACCAACCCTAAAATCTTAAATGGAAAGGGGGGTCGAGTGATACCTTATTTTAAAGGTCTTTCAATTCCCTTTGTAATGATGTAAAATACATGAGCTTCAGTTCAGTAGTTTTGAAGATTTATTGATTTGAAGCTTAAAGTAGACTTTAATAGGTATATCTACTACTTTCAGAAGAAATTTGACTAAAAGGATTTACTTAATAAGTAAATGCTTTTCTTCACTACGCCCATGGTTTGTTTATCATTTTGTTGTTGGAAATAGCTATTGGAGCGTTTTTTTTTGTGGCAGAAAAGTTATTTCTTGAAGAAAGATAAGGAAATATCTCGTACTTATTTTAAATAGGAATTTAGTTAGGGCTGCACGTGCCAACGTCATTTTTTGCCAAGCTTGTATCCTCGTCGAAAACAAAAACGACGGGTCTGAGCGTTTTTCCAAAAAAAAAGACTGTACTGCCAGTAAATGCGTCTGTTTCGTTTTCGATGCGCCACCCTTTATAATTTAATGTAATATGTTCAAAATGTGTCCCAAGAGGCAGTGCATAATCATCTATAGGTATGCGATACTTTTTGAATCTTCTTTTAGAAACAATGTTCCGCCCACATACGGTTAAGACATTTTGTAGAATATATCAGACATTAGACAGGAGCACGTATGGATGGTGGTGATAACGTAAATACACACAAAGTAGCCAATACAGACGTTGGTCCAGCCGCTCTTCATTGCAACGCTGAACTTTGGGAAGCCTTTGGATATATCGAGAATATGTTAATTTTAAGTGTTAACACCGATGACATACTATTTTTTGGTTTAACAAAATATTCGATCAGCCTTTTCTTAAAACTATATATTTGTAAGATTCTACAGATTTTGAGACGTGGCTGTACCAACCTATACTTATACTTATACTGGAGTTAATCAAGCCATATTTCATGAAAAATCATTCACAAAGCAAAAGAGTTATTGATGTAGCTTACCACTGTACGTTATAAAGTCTGAGATGTATTCAAATAATTTGAACTATATTGATATTAAAAGTGCAATAAATTAATGTTAAGACACTTACCTTGTAAGTTGAAATTGTTATCTTAAGTGAAAGAGGAAATACAATACTTTAAAAACAATCTTAGTAAATTATTTGCATGGAATCGTAATACTAGCATGATACAGCTGAATGCTCTTGCATGAACAATTATTGCTATGTAATGAACTCCTCTAAATAATTTGAGTATGGTGGGATTCAAGCCGAAAGCTTGATACCAGTCGTAATTGAAGGGTTCTCCTCTTCATCTCACGTCAGCATGGGTGTTCCCCAGGCATCGGTCTAGGCACCGACACTCTTTCTTTTGGATATCAACGACCTCCTTTCCTGTACGATCAATTTAATACACAACTTTGCTCGTGACAGCCCTCAACATGCAGAAATTCGGAGTGAAAGCCAATCTCTGCCGGCGACTTTTTGGTGAAACAACAATCTGTATCTTGAATAACAAGAATCGGTAAGGCGAATATCCGGTTTCGATGGGTGGCCGAGTTCTGCAAGGAGACATCTCTTGCAGCTGTCGTCTGTCTCTATTCTACCGCGAACTTTGCTACTTAGAACTCTCCTCCATGATGCTGCCACGTGTTAAGCCTGCCAGATGGATTCGCTAGGCCTCTACCGTCCATCATTGCTCTGTACAACTTTGTACATCTGTAACTGACTGGTACGACACCTCATTTGTCCATAGAGTGTCGAGATTGTGGAATAATCTGCCTTAGGAGGTTTCCCAGTTCTACTGACCTCAAGCATTTCAAAAATTGCATCAACAATATGTCGCAATGCCTCGGTATTCAGGTGTCTGCCAGAGTCCAGAGCACCTATGCGTTCCTTCAATTGAACTCATGAGCACAAGCTAAAAAAGGTTTTGATAACACGAAGAATGATACGCCCAGCTGTCTATTCGCTGGGCGATTCTCTAGTTATTGTACTGATAAAGTAACGAAGTGCTGTCCCAACAACAGCTTCGGTTTCTTGGCTGGCATTAAGGAAATATCTCCATATCAACAATCTTGATGCATGCTCATGTAGGGTCCGTGAACAGGATGATGAGCCATCAAGGTGTTGTTTTGTAAAGGCACATCTCTCCTATAAATATGAGAATCCATTCTGTAGGTTCGGTTTTTTTTTCTATGGCTGAAGTTTAAATCCAACGTTTGGCTTGTGCCAGTGTTACAAGCTCAGACACAATTGAGTGCAATGGAAACTCTGCTCGCGAAAGCAAGATCAGTGGGCAAGCTCGTTGGTTCTCAACCAGCTCTGGGGTGCCCACGCACGGAGTCACGACGGTAACGGAGAAGGGCATTTCTAGATATCGCTGAAATGGAGAAGTATCTGTAGACATCTCTGCCAGGCACGGAAGCCCATCTTAGGACCTAGTCCTAGCCCTAAATATAGACGCTTTTGCTTATCTTTGGTTGGTGGGACTGTTGTCTGGCCATCATACGATGACACGTCACCTGTATGTGATAGGGGTGACGGAGGATCCCTTGTGTGTGACTCCTCGATGCATTTTCTGTGTCGCTGCGAGTTTCTGAGCTATTACAGGCTGACTATACTGGGGTGCAACACTTTGGATCCCCAGAATGTTGAGGCGCTGAGACTCAGGGCTACACTCAGATTCACTAGAAGGGCGGAGCTTGCGTTGGCTCCTCGTCTTAGACGGTATGCTTCTAATCTTGAATTTGAATTTGAAATTCATTTATTCATTCATGGTTAACGATATGGAAGCTTGTATGGGTCATATGGCCAATGCCTTCAATAGCTTCGTGTTGCTGACGATCCGGCTCTGAGCAGGATGGGCAAGGCGCCTAAGTGCTATTATTTTGGTAGATTACACTCTATTCAATACGGAATACGTATTCAAGGTATACACTGGCATGATACTGGTAAATGGTTTTGCATGAACAAAGCGAACTATTTGAGTTTGTGAACAACGATTAACCAAAACAAAACATTAGTGAATTTCTTAGCAACTGTTCTGCGTAGTTTTAATGAATGACTGGAATGCACATGCATATTGGGTAAATTGTTCAAAAACGTCTCCACAAAATCTTTTTAATATTTCCGTTATCCTACGTTTCCTCATTATCTTTCCTGGCATGAAAATCTCTATAACTCTATTACTAACAAAAACGTAGGTACCAAATGTAACTAACCAGCTCTTTGACTATCAGTGTCTCGTGACTAACGGCAACTCTAACCTCACCTTTCCCAGCACGTAACACCTTGACATTTTAGAATACAGGCTGGTTGAAAAAAAGAAGAAGAAGAAGCCGTTGAAGCAACTGTTCCGAGTCCTCAAGATATCGGTATTGGCGGCGGTGGTGGCGATGAAGGTATTCCTTTTGGTACGGGTGTTCGAAGCCGCTTTGAAGTTCAAACTGCTAATGTTGGCCTTGGTGACAGTGGCCTTCCAAGGAGTGAAGCTTTATCTGGACATTAGGTCTAGCAAACAGCATCATCACGAAGAAGGAATTGTGTTCAGGAACCCGCTCGAATCTGGGGTACATGGAGGAGATACGTGGAGTGAACCAGGTGTGCCTGGCTTATCAGGGGAATACCATGGGAGGAATTTGGATGGGCAGCATCTGGCATACTCCAAACAACGCGGATCGTAGATGGTTTCAGTAAAAGGTTCATAAATTAGTCTAGTCTGTAAATTAAGTGATGATAATAACTTCCTTCTGAAGCCACACAGCGTTGGAGACGGTTCTTCCGCTCCTCATAGCAGTGCTGGAACTCCGATACTAGAATAGCCTTCAGCTGGTCGGTTACAGCCGTTTCAATGTTTTCGGCTGACCCAAAATGAGATCCCCTGAGGTGACTTTTCAACTTCGGCAAGAGACAAAAGTCACACGGACTCAAGGCTGGCGAATAAGGAGGCTGAGGAACTACAGGAATGTTTTTACTGGCCAAAAATTCGTTCATTGACAGTGCTGTGTGACGAGGAGGATTATCAAATTTAACTCTTCTTCGATTCGACTCTCTCTTCTGAAAATGGCTTAAACCTCCGTAGGCCTGTTCAGAATGAGTTTCTATTGCGCTGTGCCCAAGTCTGAAGCAAAACCTGATATCACACCGTTGCTTGAAATTGATGTAACTCCCACCAAATAACTGCGAGCGAGTTCAATCGTGTACTGAAGGCGGACGTTCCGCTGGCTCCCCTACAAGCCCGGCGCATCAAGTGTTGCCGGATCGAACGCTACGTTGCCAGTTTCATCACTTAATCTACAGATCTCGTACCAATATGTCGAAGCGAATGATTGCTGTGCAGATTTTTTGAATAACTAGACGTCTTTAAAAATACGTAAATATTCAACAAGACGCGAGTTTAACGTAATTCACAAAATTCGCTAGGTTTTTGGTAGGTAGTCGTGAAATTACTATTATGAAAAACTGCGTCAGCAATTACCATCGATCCTTACCAATTACAGATCCATATCAGTATTGTTACAATTTTGGCTGCCATGTTTAAAATTAACTCTAATGTCGACAGAAAAATACCTACTATTGGTATCTTCTCATTTGGGAGCTTCTCAAAATTATGGAATGATTGGGATTTATGTGAACATCACAACTATTGTTACAAAAATAGGACAGAGACTGTCAAAACCTCTATCACATTTAGTAAACAAATGTAAATCATGTGTGGTGTGCCTTAAGACAGTACTAGGGCCACTATTATTTAATCTCTATTTAAAAGACGTGTTCAAAATTAATAGTAAGGGAAAGATTATGTGTTTCGCGGACGACACCCTCACATTATATAAAGCTGATGACTGAGATACACCGAAGCAAATTGCTGATAAGGATTTTATAAAGATCATTAACTGGTTTGATAGTAAAATGTTAACAGTTAGAAGTTAATTTTGCAAGCCATTTTTTTGTTTATTCAGCTTTTTTGTTTTAAGGGAGTAACAAATTGTTGTCGTGATATTCAGGTAGACATGCGCTTTTCTAAAATTCTTTCGATGACATTGCCTATAGTACACATATACTAGCTTCCGCGGTATGTAAATGCTACAATGCTACATCGCCTATCTAACTGCACATATAATTGAATGAATATTGTAATACTGGGATGAACAATTTATTTTGTAGAATATTGTATCGTGTAAGTATTTATTGTATTTATTTTTATCTTTTAAATAAAATGGAATATTAAATCAAGCCTTTGATTTCATAGAGTACCTAATTTATGAAGCAATTGACGTATTCGTAAGAATATTATTTCTTTAGTGAAACAACTTGGGAGTGGCGTGACAGATGGTACCTCTAACATTAACTTTCATCCCACAAAGCTTCATAAAATTAACAACCAACTAGTGGTGGCATCACTTTGTACAATGTTCATTCTGAAGTTCGACAGCTGACAGAAGATACAGGGTGATCAGGTTTTATAATTTTAATGGAGGACAATACACAATACTTTTAAAAATAACCTTAATGACTGTTTATGGATTATGAACACGTGTCTCGGATATTTCGGATTTGAAAATCTACTTTGTATTAAAATAGTAAAAAAGGATGTTCCTAGTTGACTTTTGGTTTTACCTACGTACTGTATCCAAAATATATATCTTACACCGTTTTGACAAATATCTGATCATCGCACAATAGCTTCGCCATTCCCAGTTCTGCTCATGTTTATACCAGATTATATGACGCCCCTTTGAGTTAATCTAATTGTCGATAAAACGTGTTCTTGGACTTTGTCAGTAAGCTGTATATTCATTTTTCATGTCAATTGTTAGGGTTGACTTACAAATTTGACTTTGACCTTAACCGTGAGCTAATCTGAAAGCCTTAGCAATTACTGATGTGGTTTGTGACAAGCATAGCAGTGGAAAAGGAAAAAACAGAACTATTACTGTACATTACAGTAAAAAATGTTTGTTGCTTCAGTTATTAGTTAAGTCTACAGTATACGTTTTACATGGAATAAATACTCCATTGGTTAGATAGTTAATAGTGGTTTAAACCTTGATTAGCTGACATTTCTATCTACGTTAGGTGACATTAAAGATTTACTCTATGAGGGAAAACAAATTTTTGTTTAAATTTAGATACGCATATCCTCCATTTGATTCTAACAACTCAAAAAATAAACATTACTGCGATCAGGGAACGATATTCTTATTCGACAAATAAAATACTGATTTATTTGTATCTTTTATTTCTTATACATTTATTATTAAAATAACATAATTTACTAAATTATCAGCGAGAGTTTGTTACGAAAAATTGAAATTCATACATGGTTTCCCGATTAACTTTCAAACTCAATTTTGACAGAAGGTCCGGGTTATCGTTTCCAGATCGCAATAATATTAATTTTTTGAGTTGTTAGAGTCAAATGGAAAAATTAGAGGATATCCGTTGAAAAAAAGTACTTCCATTTTGTTTGGACATACAGTAATGGACAGTATATAGACAAATATGAATATTTACCTAAATATCTTTAGAAAACGAATTCACACTTCATTGCTCCATAAACAAATGCGTTATTAGTAGAAAAACTAAATTCCTTGTTTTTACATTATCTGCAATGAACACAATACAAGTCTGAATATGAGCACTTTTTTATGAAGGACAAACATATGTAGACAAATTCTTTTCAACATTAGTTTAGAAAAGTTTCGTGTCAGAAGAGGATAAGTTTGTGTTCGTCAAGTATTGTGCAATAAGTTGATTGATTTTAAGACCATGCCGCGTGGTCCAGAAATTTATTTCGATGAGAAAATTGAGATCATTGAGTTATACAAAGATGGTCAACGTCAAGTCGACATTGCCAAGAATTTGAAGCTGAAGCGTAAAGCAGTTTGGGTAATATTGAACAAATATAAACAAAAAGGTATCTTGGAAGCCTCTAAGAGGAGTGGTCGGCCTAGAAAACTAAAAGATTAATAAAAGTAATTTCGTCCAAAGATCCGTTTAAAACCCCAAGACAAATAAAAGCCGAAATCGAGACAAAAGGAATTGTCAGTGTTTCTACGAAAACTATAAGTAGAAGATTAAATGATTTGAAGTTATTTGCACGTCCCCCGAGTAAGAAGCCGCTAATCTCGAGGAAAAACCGTGAGGCCGATTACAATTTGCACGGTTGCATCTTGATTGGATCATCTGTGACTGGAAGAGGGTATGTTTCAGTGACGAATCCAAGTTCAATATGCTTGGATCAGATGGTGTTCATTACGTTAGACGTTGTAGTGGACAAAGATTGAACCCCAAGTACACTTTGCCCACTGTCAAACATGGAGGCGGGTCTGTTATGGTTTGGGGGTGCTTTTCGGGGTTTGGGGTGGATAAGTTTGTATACACAGGCATACTGAAGCATGCCTTCTTACCCTATATGGAAGGCAATATGCCCTTAAGATCAATCTCCCAGCAAGTTAATGACCCGAAGCACACTTCAACACTCGCAAAGAAATTCTTTTTTGATAAAAAAATACCAGTTTTCAAATGGCCTTCACAGTATCCCGATCTAAACCCCATTGAAAATCCATGGGAATACTTAGATAAGCAAATACGAGATAAACATTATTCGAACAAGGATGAACTTTTTGCCGCTTTAAAGCAAAAGTGGAGACAGATTGAAGAATCTTATATCAAGAAACTTCTACAATCTATGCCGAGACGATGCCAGGCGGTGATTGATAATAATACAAGATATTAACACAAACATGGTTGGTTTTCTATAATTCAATGAACTTTGCTTCTTTTTTCTATAACTGTTTTGCTTTGTCTATATATTTTTGTCCTTCTTAGTTCCAGTTTTTTTCAATATTAAAGGGAGTCTAATGAATTTATTTATGTATAAGTGAGTATTATGCTATAACAAATTCTGTATACAGGTTGGTGTGTAATAAAACAAGTTAAAAAAGAAATACAGCACAATATTAGTTTGTCTATATACTTTTGTCCATTACTGTATATTGAAACTTCGATTATCAAGATACTGCTTTGTTCTGGAGGTAGAGGCCCTTAGAGGAGGCCGCTGAAAATTGGTTTGTATCAAGGAACCTTTAAACAATATTTCTAAATTTTTTACAATTTCAAAATCAACGACTGTTATCTTACAGGTTGCTATTAACATACCAAAAATGATATTTAAAATGTACCGCTCTCCATAATATAACTGATCTCTGATCGGAATTTTCGGTAGTATTCGTGTACAGATGCTCAAAAACGTGGAACGAAATCAACGCAGATTTCGATTTAAACAGTATTAACCAACCTGCCATGTGTTCTAACCTTTCATCGCCGCAACGTGCTGAACTAACAAAGAACGGCCGCGGGTCCGCGTTTAAACCGAAATAATATTTCAGAGGAAGCGAGAGGCAAGAAGAAAAAACAGAAGAAACAGCAATACTTGCACAAACTCAAGCTGCTGGCCATAGGAGGGATCATAGCCGCCAAACTTTGTTTGCTGTTGAAGCTGGCGCAGACGGCGTTGCTGTTGAAGTTAGTTTTGATCGGATTGGGAATATTCGCGGTAAACGTAGCCAAGCTGCTGGCGCTGTGGAAGGCTGCCAAGCAAAAGACGATCTATTACGAAAATTCGCACCACGATCATCACTACGATCATGAGGATGTTTGGGGGCAAGAGGATCACTGGGATAGGGGAGGAGATGCACAGGATTTAGCGTATGCTGGGCAGAAGAGTTCGGGTTGGAGCTTTTGGTGAAATTCGTAATGCGAAAGAGACGATGTAAATACTTGAAACGTTGTATAAACAATGGAAAATGATGAAATTATGTTATAAGTAAAATCAGCAAATTGGAAAAGTGTAAATAATACTTGCAAAGCGTTACTTCTGGAATTTACCCAGTCAGACTAGGGAAAGTCCATTTTTGACTACCATGAGGTTTATATTTGAAGTTTATAACAATATAGTGAATTTTATTTTGCTACTTGCAGCATCCACCTACTTGTAATAATAGAACCACTTAACCCGTAAAATGTCTATCCACAAAATAAACAATAAAAACAATATATACCACTAAAAATGCAGAGGTTTCAGCAACAAACGACTTAATTAAGTAAAATGAATCAAATTTGGATAAAAGGAAAAAATACATTATACATACTTATACAGGGTGGCACATCGAAAACGAAACAGACGCATTTACTAGCAGCTCAGTTTTTTTTTGAAAAATGCTCAGACCCGTCGATTTTGTTTTCGAGGGGGACACAAGTTTGGCAAAAAATCACGTTAACACGTGCAGCCCCCTGGGCGGGGGTGACACCAACCCTAAAATCTTAAATGGAAAGGGGGGTCAAGTGATACCTTATTTTAAAGGTCTTTCAATTCCCTTTATAATGATGTAAAATACATGAGCTTCAGTTCAGTAGTTTTGAAGATTTATTGATTTAAAGCTTAAAGTAAGACTTTAATAGGTACATCGGATTAGTTTGTACTTAATTCAGAAGAAATTTGACTAAAAGAATTTACTTTTCTTGACTACGCCCATGGTTTGTTTATCATTTTGTTGTTGAACATAGCTATTGGAGCGGTTTTTTGTGGCAAAAAAGTTATTTCTTGAAGAAAGATAAGGAAATATCTCGTACTTATTTTAAACAGGAATTTAGTACATAGTTTGCGATTGATTTGACCAAGCTTTTTTGCTAAAGTAACTGGTAACGCTTTATTGCATAAATTAACCATGGTATATTCCACAGCAGAAAGAATTGAAATTATCGAAATATTTTTCGGAAATAATCAGTGCGCTAATAGAACAGCAGAAATATTTGGGCTGGTATTTTTTGCGATCATTTAGTTGGTCCCTTTTTCTTACCTGGAAATTTGACCGGTGAAATGTATTTGGAATTACTGGAAGACGGTATGATGGGCGGTACATTGTGAGTAGGTTGATGTTCCAACAGGATGGTGCCCCACCACATTACGCATTACGTGTTCGACAATATTTAGATCAGACGTTTCCAGATCGATGGATTGATAGAAGAGGTGCCATTGAATGGCCCCAAGATCGCCAAATTTACCACCTTTGGATTTCTTTATGTGGGGCATTTAAAAAGCAAAATCTATGCTACTCAGTCAACATCATTAGAAGACCTGCGACAAAGAATTGTGAATGAGT